ATCTAATTTCTCATTGCCCAGAATTAGCTTCTATTACAAGTCCAATACTCACCTTGTCCAAAACAAGGCCATTTTTTCTCTCAGTTTGGTACCCCCTAAATATTATTTAATTTCCTTCTGTTCTCTCAGGCTGAAAATCTCACAGGCCTGCTTTATTTTCTCCCTCCTCTTTATGCCCTATCCAATGTATAAACAATACAATTTTTGTTGTTTATAAATTATCCAATCTAGGGTATTTTGTTGTAGTAGCCTGAATGGACTAAGACAATGGGTTAGCTGCCTAGTGTATCAAGTCTACACTACTCTGCATAGCTTTTGGTGACCTCTATATCCTCACCAACTCCTAGTATATTTCACTTTCATTTCTCAATAATTTTTTCACTGGATATAGAACTGTATGTGGAAGTTACTTTCTTTGAGTACTTTAAAGGTTTCATTCCATTGCATTCTGACTTTGTTTCCATTGATAACTTAGCTGAAAGTCTTAGGGTCACTCTTTTTGAAGTTTACATATCTTTTTTCCTCAGGCTACTTCAAAACTTTATATCTTCATATCCCAGCGTAAGTATGGTCTTCTGTACATTTATCTTGCCTAGGGATTATAGTGCTTATTGAATCTACAGCTTGATATCTTTCATCAGTTTTGAAAAACTTTCTCCCATTATCTGTCAAATGTTATTTCTGCCTTGTTTTTTCTCTTTCCTTTCCTTCTGGAAGTCCAATTACAAATATATTAAACTTCTTCACCTTTTCCTGTATTTCTCTTACATTCTTTTGTGCATTTTCTAAACTTTTGTTTCTCTGTGCTTCAGTCTAAATATTTTACTCTCTCTTGCAGTTCTGATTCATATTCCAGCTCACAAATTCATCTGCAGCTATGTCTCCTCTGATGGTAAAACCTCATCAATTGAGTTCTTAATACAGTTCCAGAATGTCCATTTAAAATGGACTTCCAATTCTTTGCCAAGATTATCAATCTCAATCTTGTCAATTAATTCCTTGAACATATTAATTATGGCTATTTTAAAGTCTAAAAACTCTAGTATCTGAATTTCTTGAGTTTGTTTCTAATGGCACTTGTTTCTGTTGCTTTTCAGTCATGTTTTGTTTTGTATGCATGCTTTTTTTTTTAATAGAAAACTAGATAATGCATATGAAAAATTCTAAAGATTTTTTGAGGCTCTAATTGATGTTGTCTTCCTCCAGAAAGGATTTACTTTTATTTCTGAAAGGAAGTTAGGCCACTAGCATTAGCAATCTCAGATCATCTTAATCCAATTAGCGTTAAAGATCATTTGAATCTGTGCTTCAATTCCTGTGAGGGTTACTTTATTTTCAGTCTACCTCACTTTCAGGATTTGACCTTTCACAGTTCCAGTTAAAGTCTGGGATTTTACCAATACTCATCCCGACCCTTGGCAACCCTTGACTCCACCTTTTGCCTCCTTATCTTTATGGACCGGTCAGATACTCCTTTCAGAACCTACCGGTATCTCTAGGAGATAAGCAACACTAAGTGCTAGGCTTACATCTCTGGGCTTTCCTCCTCTCCTCACTGTCTTGGTAGCCTTCCAGTTCTTCAGAATTTTATTTCATTTTCATCCAGGTTTTCTGGCTGTTCTCAGCATACTGATGTGCTTGAAACAACCCATTCCACCATCATGGGATGGCTAAACTCTCCTTTATCATCTGTTTTGCCTCAAGCTGCCCCGTGCTTTAAGTCTACAGTACACTGCATGGCTTTCAGCCCCCTCTATATCCTCACCAACCCCTGTCTATCCAAATTAGAACATAAGCTTTGAGGTTGGAGAGTGTTCATGTTTAAACTGTGGTTTTACTCTACTTATAGCTACATGCCATTGGACAAGTTATTGAGCTTTTCCACAATTAATTTATAAAATAGGGGTAGTAAAATCTGTTTCACAGGGTCAGTGAGATTAAATAATATGGGTAAAATACTTAGCACAATCCCAAAGTAATAGCAGTTAGCACTTACTGAGTAGTATCATCACTGCTAGTTCTACTAAAAATAAAAAAATGAGTCAACCTATGCGTGAAACTCATCCATTTCTTTACTCTGGCAAAATATGTGTACACATTTTCACCTTCATAGCTTGTTCACATTATTCCTCAATTTTCTCTTTTCCTAATGTAATCCAACATACGCTTCAAGGCCCAAGTGGAGTTCAACCTCCACTGTGAAAAGTATGCTAAAATTTCAAAATCCATACTGATATGTACTTGCTCTAATTCCTATTCAACTTATCAACACATGATTTATCAACTATTCCCTAATGTTGTTTTATGGATTGCTCCCTAATCTAGTTTTTCCTTTCCAAAACTAGATTATAAAGTGCTTACAAAAACAGCCAATATAATTTGTATCTTTTATAGTACCCAGGATAACATCAAACATGTAAGAGGTTCTCAAAATATGCATGTAGCTCAGGATAGAAGAAAAGAGTTCCTCATATTCTATGAACATTCGAATTAATACTGCAAAGCACGTAGAATGGGGGAGGGGTGCAGAGAGACACAGGCAGAAGAGAAGGAAATAAGTAAATAAGCACATCACAGAAAGATTTTCTAGTAAAACATTTACTTAAATCTTTATGTAAGAGTAACTTCAGCTTACCTAGTTGCATTATTTGAAAAATAACAATTCAAAGTCCAAAGTTCCATTTTTACAATTCAGTGTTTAGAATTTAACTGGAACTGGCCAGGCGTGCCAAGGTGGGCGGATCACCTGAGGTCAGGAGTTTGAGACCAGCCCGGCCAACATGGTGAAATCCTGTCTCTACTGAAAATAAAAAAATTAGCCGGGCGTGATGGTGCACACCTATAATCCCAGCCACTTGGGAGGCGGAGGCATGAAAATCACTTGAACCTGGGAGGTAGAGTGAGCCGAGACTGTGCCACTGCACTCCAGCCTGGGTGAAAGAGAAGACTCTGTCTCAAAAAAAGAAAAAAGAAAAAAAAAAAAAAGCTCAGAATTTAACTGGAACTTTCTGGTTTGCCTTTCCTTTCATTAAGAAAACAAAAGAAAGGCCGGGCGCGGTGGCTCAAGCCTGTAATCCCAGCACATTGGGAGGCCGAGACGGGTGGATCACGAGGTCAGGAGATCGAGACCATCCTGGCTAAAACGGCAAAACCCCGTCTCTACTAAAAATACAAAAAACTAGCCGGGTGAGTTGGCGGGCGCCTGTAATCCCAGCTACTCGGGAGGCTGAGGCAGGAGAATGGCGTGAACCCAGGAGGCGGAGCTTGCAGTGAGCTGAGATCTGGCCACTGCACTCCAGCCTGGGCGACAGAGCGAGACTCCGTCTCAAAAAAAAAAAAAAAAAAAGAAAACAAAAGAAAGTAAAACCTTAACTAGTTCAGGAAATTAGCTAACACTGATCTATCAAAGGATACTCTCCTAAATACTAGTCATTTGTCTTACTTATATTCAAAATGAACTACTCATGAGAATGAGAACAAAATAAACATTTAAAAGATGTACTTTTGGCTGGGCGTGGTGGCTCACACCAGTAATCCCAGTACTTTGGGAGGCTGAGACAGGTGGATCACCTGAGGTCAGGAGTTCAAGACCAGCCTGGCCACCATGGTGAAACCCCATCTCTACTAAAAAATACAAAAAAAAAAAAAAAAAAAGGCTGGGCGTGGTGGTGGGCGCCTGTGATCCCAGCTACTTGGGAGGCTGAGGCAGGAGAATTGCTTGAACCCAGGAGGCGGAAGTTGCAGTGAGCCAAGGTTGTGCCATTGCACCCCAGCCTGTGTGACAGCAAGACCCTTGTCTCAATAAAAAAAGAAAGAAAAAAAAAACAGTACAGAAAAAGATGTACTAAAAGGATCTTTAGTTGTAATTCTTTCAAATTTTTTGAGAATTTATTTTATCATAAATGTAGAAAACATAGTAAATGCTTTCCTATAATACGATAACATTACTTTAACTTTTAATAAAGATTATTCCCCCAAAATTATCCCCTCTCTGATAATTTCTGATTCCATTCCCCACCCCACAACCTAGTATTTTATTGATAAAAAATTGTGCTTTGCTATCTGACACAATGAAGTCTTTTAGTGATTGCAATTTAGAACAAAATTTTCCTTTTAGGAAGTGGTCGTGTCATTCAGTGTTCAACAACTGTCATATGCTAATAGTGATGCTAAAATATACTTAGGATCATTTACACCTAATAAGTTGTGATACCTAAAAGTGGTATATTTGAGATTTTGGGCTTTTTAATCCCTGCTCAAATAGTCACATGTGTAGCAGAAGCAGCTAAAATTTGAATATTCTATTTTTATAACCTTACAAGAAGAATTCAGATTCCTAGATGGAAAGACAAACACACACGTACTTTGTAGAAAAATGACTGTGAACCTACGTTATTTCAATTTTTCGAGGGTAAGGAGGTAAGATCTCTTTTAGATGTAAAAACAATTTGGCAAACATTTGCCCATTTGTAAGACAATCAGCAAGAGGAGAGAGCATGGGAGAGTTAATTCACATATAATATGTGAATATGTATGATCCAAAAATGGTAAATATACAGCAGTCAATTTCTTAGCAGACTCTTCTGCCCATCCCATCAAGATTATAGGGACCATGACTGCATGCTTTTTTTTTTTTTTTGAGATGGAGTCTCACTCTGTTGCCCAGGCTGGAGTGCAATGGCAAGGTCTTGGTTCACTGCAACCTCTGCCTCCCAGGTTCAAGCAATTCTCCTGCCTCAGCCTCCCAAGTAGCTGGGACTACAGGCGTGTGTCACCACACCCGGCTAATTTTTGTATTTTTAGTAGAGAAGGGGTTTCCAGGTTGTTCTTGAACTCCTGACCTCGTGATCCACCCACCTCAGTCTCCCAAAGTGCTGGGATTACAGGCGTGAGCCACCACGCCTGGCAACTAAATGCTTTTTTAGCAAGATATTTTAAAATGACCACATTTGCAAGGTGAAGAAAGGCCCTACATTTGACATCCATGCATGACAGCTTACCCACAGCATTGTAGAGAGGCTCTCCAGTTATCTTGTCCCAGACTACAGTGGTTTCCCTCTGGTTGCTGACACCAATAGCTTTAAAGAGAAAGTTAAACAGAAGGAAGTCGAAATTTTAACAAGTAGGAAACTACTTCAGGAGAATAGCTCTCATCTTACTAGAGACGCAACTAAACATAACAAATCAAAAAAATATTTGAAATATTTGTAGTGATTCGTTTATTTTCTTTGAGTGGCTCCAGAAAAAGTCAATACTCAATGCCAAGTATTTCTTTTCATTTCTACATACTCCTTCCAGCTTTACTACTAGCACACAATGACATGGACCCAGATCAATACCCAAATAAAAGGCACACTGGTTGCTTTAAGGAATGCAATAACTTTGCAAATTTATAATACCCAATTTATTATTCTGAGCAGACCAATAATCAACTCATTCAATTGTTTACCAAATGCTACAAGAAATTTTCCTCCTTATGTGTGTGCATTTGTGTGTGTGTGTGTGTGTGCGTGTGTGTGTGCGTGCATGTACATGCCTACATTTTAAGAAAATAGCTATGGACAAAATCCTTTATGCTGAGCATCCTTATGATTTGTTAGAAATTCAGTTTTATTCCTGTATTTAATATGTCACAATACATAAGAATTTGAATCAGGCATAAATATAATATATAATGGCATTTACATTACACTGACCTACATAAAACAAGTACAAGTACTGTATTTAATGTAAAAAACACTAACCCACACTATCACACTATCTTATTCAATTCAGCTTGCTTGAGCTAAATTGGAGGTTTTCAGACTTGATTGTACTTTAGAATCAACTGAGGAGCTTTTTTTTTTTTTAAAGACGGACTCTCGTTCTGTGGCCCAGGCTGGAGGCGGGAGGGCAGTGGCGCGATTTCGGCTCACTGCAAGTCCCACCTCCCAGGTTCACGCCATTCTCCTGCCTCAGCCTCCCGAGTAGCTGGGACTACAGGCATCTGCCACCACACCTGGCTAATTTTTTGTATTTTTAGTAGAGACAGGGTTTCACTGTGTTAGCCAGGATGAACTGAGGAGCTCTTAAAAAATCCAATGCCCAAGCCCTGGTCAAAACATTCCAATTTAACTGACCTGGGATGGGATGTGAGTATTGCTATGGGTTCCTAAAACTTCCCCAGGTGATTCTAATGTGCATCCTGGCTAGAACACACTGGGCTAAAGGATCCAGCTCTTCCAGAATTTAAGATCAGGACAGACCTTAAAGGCTGTGTAACAAAAAATACTTTCTAAGCTCAAATCTTTTCTAGAATCACCTGGCATATGGCCATCCAGACAGCACTTCTAGTGACAAGATATTCACTACATCTCTCAAGGCAGAGCAATCTCTATTGGACAACTTTGGTGCTTTTCTTCTTTTTGTAAATCCACCAGACTGGAAAACGTAGCAAGACCTCATCTCTACAAAGAAATAAACTAATTAGCCAGATGTGGTAGTGCACAACTGTAGTCCTAGCCACTCGGGGCTGAGGCAGGAAGATTGCTTGAGCCCAGGAGTTCAAAATCACCCTGGGCAAAATAGCAAAACCCAGTCTCTATAAAAAATTTTTAAAAATTAGCCAGATGGCCTGGCGCAGTGGCTTGCACCTGTAATTCCAGCACTTTGGGAGGCCGAGGCAGGTGGATCACCTGAGGTCAGGAGCTCAAGACCAGCCTGGCCACCATGGCGAAACCCTGTCTCTACTAAAAATACAAAAAATCAGCCAGGTGTGGTGGCGTGTGCCTGTAATCCCAGCTACTCAGGAGGCTGAGGCAGGAGAATCACTTGAACCCAGGAGGCGGAGGTTGCAGTGAGCCAAGATTGCACCACTGCCCTCCAGCCTGGGCCATGGAGGGAGACTGCATCTCAAAAAAAAAAAAAAATTACCTAGGTGTGGTGGTGTGTTCCTTTAGTCCCAGCTACTCAGGAGGATTCCTTAAGCCCAGGAGTTCAAGACCAGTCTGGGCAACATAGTGGGACCTTGTTTCTACAAAAAAATTTTTAAAAATTAGGGCGGTATGGTGATGCACGCCTGTAGTCCCAGCTACTCAGGAGGATTGCTTGAGCCCAGGAGTTTGGGGTTGCAGTGAGCTATGATGGTGCCACTGCACTCCAGCCTGGGCAACATAGTTAGATCCTGTCTCAAAAAAATAAAAATAAAAATAAAAATAAAATAAAAATCATTTTCTGTGGCCGGCCACGTCTGTAATCCCAGCACTTTGGGAGGCCGAGGTGGGCTGATCCCAAGGTCAGGAGATCAAGACCATCCTGGCTAACACGGTGAAACGCTGTCTCTACTAAAAATACAAAAAATTTAACTGGGCGTGGTGGTGGGCGCCTGTAGTCCCAGCTACTTGGGAGGCTGAGGCAGAAGAATGGCGTGAACCCGGGAGGCGGAGCTTGCAGTGAGCCAAGATTGGGCCACTGCACTCCAGCCTGGGTGACAGAGCGAGACTCCGTCTCAAAAAAAAAAAAATCATTTTCTGTGTAGCTTCCACCTCCCGATCTTAGTCATATTCTTTGGAAATATATAGAGTAAGGGTAATCCTTCTACATGCCAGTCTTTCAAAAACTTGAAGCAGCTCTTTTGTACCTCAAGTCTTCTGCTGTGTAGGCTAAACAATCCAATTTCCTTCAGCTGACCCTGCCTAAACACAGCATGGTTTAAAGTCCCTTTATCACCACGCCTAGGAACATGCAAGTACATGTCCACATCACTCAAATTGTACACCCAGAATAAAACACAATACTCTAGGAATGTTCTGAGCAGCACAGAGCTGAGGGGGAACCATCAGCTCCCTTGTTCTAATACTATTTATCCAATGCAGATTGACTTACTTTATTTAACATCTTTTCTAAAACTACCTATTGGGTGGTATGCTCACTAACTGGGTCACGGGATCTGTACCCCAAACCTCAGCACTCAGCATCATGCAATATACTTACATAACAAACCTGCACATGTACCCTCTGTATCGAAAATAAAAGTTTATATATAGATATAGATATAGATATTAAATCTTTTCTAGAGATACAAAGATGATTGAGATTCTACTCCAAAGAAATTTAGAGGCATTGGGTAGAGGGAAGAGATTCTGGGTAAGACAAAAATGTTTATAAAAGTAAATAAACAGAAAGGAGAATGAGGGGATGGATGGGGCTGGGAATCAATGGGGACTTGGTTCTGACTGATGTAGTGACAGGAGAGGATGGATTACCAGCGCAAGTGGAGGGAGGAGTTCCAAGTAGGGCAGAAGGCTATTGCTGCCCTTGTGATGAAGGAATGTTGGCAGGAGATCCAGATATTAAGCACAGGAACAGGAAGGTGAGGATTTAAGGCCGCAGAGCCTCAACTTTCTCCGTGAAGCAGGAGGTAAGGTTATCTGCCAAAACAGGGCAAGAGTTTGGGGCACCATTCAGTAGAGCTCAGGCTCTGAGGCCAGATAGCTGGGATTCCAATTCCAATTCCTGTGCTTCCTAGCAGTGTGACTCTGGGTCTCAGTTTTGTGTCTTGTGAAATGGAGAGAATAATAGTTACAACTTTACAGGGTTACAGTGAGGAATCAGGGTTACAGTGAGGTGTCAATGTATATTAAAACAGATGCCTGGTACACAGTAAGCACTCAATAAATATTACCTACTGCTGCTGCCTTGGTCATCATTATTGAGAAGAGAGTAGAGTAACAGTTTCAGAGAATGGGACTGAGCTAAGCAGGACAAATAAAGGAATTCTGCAGCAGCTCTATGGGCACATACTGTGAATGTGATTTTTTTGTGTGTGTGACTTTACAACATGGGATCAAAATGAACTCATGGTCAACTAAAATCTCCTATTCCTCCTCACTATGTTAATTTTACCATCAATAAGCTGGCTGCTTTCTTATTCACAATCCTTGAGTAACTTTTCTACGCCTCTCATGCTACCTATCTTTACTGGGTCATTCTAACTTTTCTTCAGAATCTAATCTAGAGGTATTTCAATCTGATTCTTCAGTCACGGGTTCCTCCCTGGGCATTCCTTTTTTCTCTTCTATCTTAATTGGATTCCTTCATGCCAAGTAAAATTGCTTTGCTTGCAGACAAAGTCCAGTGAAACAGCTTCCCAGGATTCTCTGCCGGCCACAAACATGTCTTTATTACCCATTTCTCCCCAGGGCACACAAGTCTTATGTGTGAACTTATCTCCGAACTTTTTCAATGTTCCAGTGTCTTGTCATTCCTACCCTAAAATCCTCTATGTTTTTTAAAGAAAACCTTTCCGACTGCTAATCTCAGCACATGTGCCATTCCTAATGGTTCCTAATTTTAATTCCTTCTTTCTTGGAATAACACATTCAGGTTTTATAATTCTCCACTCCTCCTCATGTGCACCATTTAAGATAATATGAAAGTCACATGCATAAAACATGTATTTCTTGGCCTCAAAGTCTTTCATTTATGGATATCATAACCATTATCATATACTGTATTACTCTTGCATTTACCAGCTTCATACTTTACCCACATATTCTCTCTGGGGGCACTTTTCTCTACACTGAACGTCAGTAGTAAAATTAAACTAGTTAAAATCTACACTCAAAATCTCTGGTTAATTTTTCTTAAAATTACGTATGAAGTTATAATCGCAGTTAGGAAAATATACCTTAGAAAAAAGAGCCTTTGAAAATACTCCAGGATGTTAATAATTGTTGTCTCTGTAGAATTATGGATGAGATGCATCCTTTTTTAAAATTCAAATCATAATGTATAACACATTTTTTGGGAGAAAACTAAAAACACACAGAAAATAAGAGCTTCAGAGGAAGGTTCTCTGGCTACAAAAAGTAATACCATATGGGAAGAGAGATAAGGCTTTTATTTTTATTTTTTTTTTTTTTTGAGACAGAGTTTTGCTGTTGTTGCCTGGGCTGGAGTGCAGTGGCGCGATCTCAGCTCACCGTGACCACTGCTTCCCCGGTTCAAGAGATTCTTCTGCCTCAGCCTCCCGAGTAGCTGAGATTACAGGCATGTGCCACCATGCCCGGCTAATTTTGTATTTTTTAGTAGAGACAGGGTTTCTCCATGTTGGTCAGGCTGGCCTTGAACTCCAGACCGCAGGTGATCTGCTCGCCTCAGTCTCCCAAAGTGCTGGGATTACAGGCGTGAGCCACCACGCCCGGCCTGATAAAGCTTTTTAAAACAGGTTCTGCAATATGTGTACTTGAGGTGAGCTAGAAAAATTGCAAATGAGATGTGGCTGCTGCTGGAAACATTTTGGAGAACGAGGTGCCTTCCTGAAACCCCTGAGAGGCCCCTGAGAGTATGAGTCTAAGAGGTGATAGAAATGTGTGCGAATATGTTGGGTAGGGCAAGGCAGTGGAGGAATGGATGTGTGGGTTTCCCTTTTCTCTAACAGGGAAATAATTGTTTTAGATACAAGATAATCTAATCTCTGAGAATTTTATGCTCTCAATTTTGAAACAGTTTATGTTATGTTTTGGTTCTATCACATGAATGAATATGTAACTGGTTTTTTTTTGTTTTTTTTTTTTTTTTTTTTGAGACGGCATTTCACTCTTGTTGCCTAGGCTGGAGTACAATGGAGCGATCTTGGCTCGGTGTGATCTTGGCTCACCGCAACCTCTGCCTCCTGGGTTCAAGCGATTTTCCTGCTTCAGCCTCCCGAGTAGCTGAGATTACAGGCATGAGCCACCATGCCCAGATAATTTTGTATTTTTAGTAGAGACGGGGTTTCTCCAAGTTGATCAGGCTGGTCTCAAACTCCTGACCTCAGGTGATCCGCCCGCCTCGGCCTCCCAAAGTGCTGGGATTACAGGCGTGAGCCACCATGCCCAGCCGTAACTCTTTATTTTGTAATTGATACTGTAACTCTTTATACTTTGTAATTCCTTGAGCCCAGTGACAGGCAAACAGAGCTGACTCTACCCCTAGAAGGAAAGAAGCAGTCTATTTAATTGCCTTGGGCTAGTGTGTGCTGCTCAGTTGGAGAGTTAATTTTAATTTTGGAGGCATTGCTCCTAGTGACCTGAAATCAACAAACTTTCTGTCAGATAAGGACAACAAAACCAATGAAATGGAAATTTGCCAAGGAAATACCAGACATGAAGAACCCTTAATGACTGTCAGGTAAGACTATAAATGATATCACTCTTCAGTTGGCAAAGTTAATTTACTTGCCACACAAGAAATAAAAACAGAAGTGGTTTGTGAGATTATCATCAGTGTGGCTCAGGATAAAGAACACTGGTCTAGGAGTCAGGGGAGCTGTGCTTTAATGCTAATCCACCATTAAAAAGCTACATAACCTGCAGTAAGTCCCCTTCCCTAATTTGCAGATAGAGGGAGCTGGTCTAGTTGACTGAAGATCCTTTACAGTTTTTCCTTTTTTTTTTTTTTTTTTTTTGAGTTGGAGTTTCACTCTTGTTGCCCAAGCTGGAGTGCAATGGTGCCATCTCAGCTCACTTCAACTTTCACCTCCCAGGTTCAAGAGATTCTCCTGCCAGGTGTGTGCCACCATGCCCGGCTAATTTTTTGTATTTTTAGTAGAGACAGGGTTTCACCATGTTGGCCAGGCTGGTCAAGAACTCCTGACCTCAGGTGATCCGCCTGCCTCGACCTCCTGAAGTGCTGGTATTACACGCGTGAGCCACTGTGTGCCCAGCCTTTTCTGTTTGTTTGTTTTGTTTTTTTTGAGACAAAGTCTTGCTCTGTTGCCCAGGCTGGAGTACAGTGGGGCAATCTCGGCTCACCACAACCTCTGCCTCCCAGGTTCAAGCGATTCTCCTGCCTCAACCTCCCAAGTAGCTGGGATTACAGGCACCCACCAGCACGCCTGACTAATTTTTGTATTTTCAGTAGAGACGGGGTTTCACCATGTTGACCAGGCTGGTCTCAAACTCCTGATCTCGTGATCCACCCACCTCGGCCTCCCAAAGTTCTGGGATTATAGGCATGAGCCACTGCACCCGGTCTCCTTTACAGCTTTAACAGTTTGTGATCTAGAGTTCTATACAGGCAAGCAAAAGCTTGGCCCTTGGCAATGCCAATTGGATAAATTTTCTGGGAAAAAAAATAGTACAACTGGCCTGGTATGTAGGAGCTTGTGGGATGTTCTCTTCTGTGGCCAGAGGATGGTAGTTGTACAGATGGAAGTGCTGGGTCACTTTGGCTCAGATGTGGACTTCACACTGGCCAGAAACAGAGTATAGAGAAGTTGCCTGTTCAATTCTTAGACCAGGTAGTGCATGTGGAAGACACGTCACTTGGGCAGGAGTTGTGTGTCATCTTCACATAAATCGTAAAAGCAAGAGAAAAAGGAATAGCACCCAAGTGGGTCCAGAAAGCCAACATATCACAGCCTACCTTACTTGTAAGGGAGGTAGAATGATGTCGAAGCCATGGTCAATCACCCTGGACTCTACATTCTAAACATGGCTTTAAGCTGCCTGGATTACCTATGTCTTTGGTAATTTTGACAAGAGTGTGCTACTGATTACCTATTATTTGTTTCCACTGTTTAGACTGTGAGAACTGCAAGAACAGCTCAAGGAAATGATCAACAACAATCACTAATGCACAATTAACCTAAAGTTCAGGACTGCAACCCTAAAATAAGTTGAAGCCCTTCCACTTAGATATAGGGATAAAAGGAGGATAGGATTAATATGTGCACGATATTAAAAGTTGTTAATAAAATATCAAATTATACTTTAAAAAAATCTGCAATAACAGAAATAACTCTATTATTTTATGCATTTCCATTTATTTGTGATTATCAGATTAACATGTTGTCTGCACTTAAGCATTAGCTCCATTGTATCCTTAGCACATCTGGCACATAGTAGGCACTCTACAGATTTGTAGTCTTTTTTTTAAGTGAGTTTGAATTTATACAAACAGAGGAAAGGCTCAGGAGTGATGGTATCAAAGCCAAGATGATGGCAATCAAGCCACCACCACCAACTGATGATCTCTCTAACTATAGTCAAACTACCTAAGGAGGAAAAAAAGAGCCCTTGAATGGTGAACTTGAAAATTTGAGGCTATAAAGTAGACAGCAAACTTCCACATTATGCTTCCACCTTTTATGCTATTACATCAATCTTGGGTGGCTGGATTTTTTTTTCCCTACATGAATGATGAAAAGTCAAACGTAGATATTCAATTAAAACTACTAGGACTTCACCAGGTGCGGTGGCTTACGCCTGTAATCCCAACACTTTGGGAGGCTTAGGCGGGTGGGTCACAAGGTCAGGAGTTCGAGACCAGCCTGGCCAGCATGGTGAAACCCTGTCTCTACTAAAAATACAAAAAAAAAATTAGCTGGGCATGGTGGTGTGTGCCTGTAATCCCAGCTACTCGAGAGGCTGAGGCAGGAGAACTGCTTGAACCTGGGAGGTAGAAGTTGCAGCGAGCCAAGATTGTGCCACTGCACTCCAGCCTGGGTGACAAGATTGAGACTCTGTCTCAAAAAAAAAAAAAAAAAAAAACCTACTAGGACTTCACAGAGAAATTCATAACAATCTAATACTCTCAAGCAATTATTTCAGGGAAATTTTATAAGTGAAGAGTTTGGATTCCAAACACCCCTTCCCCACAACCTACTCCTTCCTCTAGTCGTTCTCTCCTTAGCAAAAGGCATCCTCATCTATCCAGGAGATCTGGAAAAAATGCAAGCATCACCTTTGACCAATCTCTTCCCTCAACCCCACTACTCTCTCTGTTACCCCAACATCCAGTCTATCAGCAAATTATGACCCTTTCTCTCCACCTCCACTGCTACCATTATTGGTCAAGCCACCATCCTCTCTCAGGACTTCCATAGCAGCCTCTGCACTGGTCTCCCTGTGTCCACACTTTTGCCTTTACCATCTACTCTCCACGCAGCAGTCAGAAAGTTGCCTTGAAACTGCAAGTCATCCCTTGCCGCCTTGCTTAAACTTTCTCATGGCTCCCTATGATACTAAGAATAACATCCAAAATCCTAAATATGGCTGATGAAGCCTGACCCACTTACAATTTGATCTCCTACGGAAACCCCCTACCCACTCTCACTGCTCAACACTTTTAGTCTTCTTTTGACATGCTGGCCTTCTTTCTGACCCGGAAATGTCCCAGGCTTATTCCCACTTCAGGGCCTTTGTACGTGCTGCATCCTTCCCCTCAAACACTCTTCTAGACATATGGCTGACCCCTTTTGCCCTTTGAGAGCTCAGCAAAAGTGTCACATCCTCAGAAAAGCTTTTCCTGGCCACCTAATCTAAAGCAAGCCCTTCTAGGCACAACCCACCATATCACTTGGTTTTTATTTTTTGGATGGAACTTTTTAGTATTTGAAATTATATTTGTCTGCTCTTATTATCTTGCCCTCATCCAAATAAAAGCTCCACGAGGACAAGAACTTGAACCTTCCTGTTTAGTGTTGTATCCTCAAGTTCTTACAGAAATGCTTGGCACTGCATAGACACTCAATTATAAGCTGAAAGAATAAATTAATGAATTTGATTGAGAGAGTCTTATTATGTGGGTAAAATATTCTATTAAAATACCTTTTATGTTGGAAATATCAATATTGAGCTGTCCAAGTTTCTCACATGTTTTCTCTATACACTCATAGACAGAGTGTAGAATTTCTTTAGGGTCCTGTTCCACCCATCTTTGAACAAAAGAAGGCATTTGGTTAGTCAGTAAGAAAGCAACACAAATATAACTTTTTTCTAGAGAAAAGTTAACTTATGAGGGTATGGCTGATGCATACATTAAAGAAAATCAGATTAAGCAAAGCAAATTACATTCCACATTTTAAAGAAACGATTTCAATAAAAGCCTATTTCCTTACAATTTTAATATTCTCCACATAGTAATTAATCATTTTCAAGGAGGCCACTAATAGCAGGCGACAAACAGCAAATATCTACCTATTTTAAATTATTTTTCCAAGTCCAATAAGAAATTTGTTCCCCTTCTTTATATCCTGCAGATTCCATTAATTTTGATAAATTATCTGCATGTTTCACTAATCGCTGGTTATTTCTAGGTAGACAGAAATATATTTATTATTATTCAGAATGATATATTTGTGAAGCAAAAGGAATTTCGAAAAGTCAAATAAGTATACTAGTCTTTTTTGCTACTTTTTTCCCAAAATGTTTTGTTGGAATTTAGGGAAAATTTAAAACTCCTTTTAACTATTTCATGTAGATAAGTGATTGGTCCAAGTTCTTAGACCCAATCTCAGTACAATTTTGGTAAAGTACCAGGGCCTCAGAAGGATGAAAGGCTAATAGTAAATGAGAAGGGTGAGAAGCCTAGGAGAAATATGGTAATTTGAGGAAGTTCAAAAGTAGAAATGATACAACCTAAAATGATTCTACCATAGGATCCAGAAGTAGCAAGGGAATTCCAACTGCCTTTCTTCTCTGCCTTTCTCAGGCCTAACTAAATTCTTCCCTTTCCTGGGCTTTGAATTCTGTCTCTAATTTATTTTATTATTTTTATGTATTTTATTTATTTATTTTTTTTTTTTTTTTTGAGACAGAGTCTCGCTCTGTCGCCCAGGCTGGAGTGCAGTAGCGCAATCTCGGCTCACTGCAAGCTCCGCCTCCCGGGTTCATGCCATTCTCCTGCCTCAGCCTCCCGAGTAGCTGGGACTACAGGCACCCGCCACCACGCCCAGCTAATTTGTCGTATTTTTAGTAGAGACGGGGTTTCACCGTGTTAGCCAGGATGGTCTCGATCTCCTGACCTTGTGATCCACCTGCCTCAGCCTCCCAAAGTGCTGGGATTACAGGCGTGAGCCACCACACTTGGCCGTCTTTAATTTATTTTAAAAAACCCAGTCTCCTTCTGTGTATTTATAATTTTCATCTAGCCAAGACTCAGGTATCTTCTTTACAAATTGCACTGGGCTCAGTCTTGTGGACAGTCATGCTAATGTTGCTAATGTATCAATAACTTTTATTATTAAACAAAGGAACTCTAAAAAATAGAACATTTTTTTCATGTGAAGAAGACAATACAATTTGGAAACACATCAATTTTTTTCTCTCTTTCTTAAATTGAGGTAAACTTTACAGTGAAATGCACAGATCTAAAGCGCACAATTTGCTGAGTTTTGACAAGTGGAAATACTCATCTAAGCAACACCCCAGTCAAGATACAAAATACTTCCAGCATCTCAGAAAGTTCTTTCATGCTCCTTTCAAGTGAATGACACACCTCACAGACAACCACTTTTCTGATTCCTATCATCCTAGATTAGTTTAGACGATTATAAAATTTCAGATCAATGGAGTCATGTAGTATATACTCTTTTGTATCCAACTTTTTTATTTTCCATAATTCCAGTGACATTCCCTCGTGTTGTTGCAAGTATCTGTTCACTTTTTAAAAATTACTAAATGGTATTCCATTGTTATCCATCCTACTGATGACAGACATTTGGGTGGTTTCCATTTGGGGCTACCTTTTTTTTTGAGATGGAGTCTCACTGTCTCCCAGGCTGGAGTGCAGTGGCGCGATCTCTGCTCACTGCAAGCTCCGCCTCCCGGGTTCATGCCATTCTCCTGCCTCAGCCTCCCGAGTAGCTGAGACTACAGGTGCCCGCCACCACGCCCAGTTAAATTTTTTTGTATTTTTAATACAGACGGGGTTTCACAGTGTTCCCCAGGATGGTCTCGATCTCCTGACCTCGTGATCTGCCCGCCTCGGCCTCCCAAAGTGCTGGGATTACAGGCGTGAGCCACCGCAACTGGCGTTTGGGGCTACTTTTAATAAAGTAGCTATAAACATTCATGTGCAAGTCTTTCGATGGGCATATGCTTTTATTCCTCTTGGGTAAATTCCTAAGAGTGAAATGCTGCAGGTGTATGGTTAGCTTTGCAATAAACTGCAACACAGTTTTTCAAAGTGGTTATATCATAAACATCATTAAATTTTAAATAATATACTTAACATTATATTTAATTACAATTACTACATATGAATACTATTCCCAAAAATGTGATTTTAGTATTAGATATTAAGATATGTGAATACTTTTTTAAAAGATACCTTTATTATAAAACAAACATACCTTTATTATAAAACAAACCTGACACTCAAATCAGCAAAGCAGCATTTTCACAATAATAGGAACACAGAACTCAATGACTTAAAAGTTAATGTAAAATTTCTGATATTTAATACTCTTTTGCTTTATTACTTTATTATTCATTCCTTGTTGGTAACTGAATTCCTAAGCCATCAATTCCTGACACGTAAGACATACCAAGTTATTGCATATTTTCTTGACTAATAACAACCTCTCAAATCTTTTCAGGAGGATGTCTGACCAAGTTTACTTTACAAATCCACAGGGCAAGTCAGGTGAGATGGACTAACAAACATAATGTGTCTTTACATATCGAATTAGGAAACATACCCTTCTCTTGGGAACTCTTGTTTTATTTCCACTTGATGATGACTAAGTAGTTCAGCTGTTTTTGAATTGAAAACCTGAAAAATATATTGTAATATTAAGGTAAAAATGCAGGCAGATATCAAGGATGTTTAAAGTTATTCAGTAACTGAAGTTCTTGTTCACTGGTAGAAAAAGTCCAATGAGATGAAATGCCATATAAGATGTTCGACTTTCTTTTCATATGGATTCATAAAAGATATAAGGCAGCATCAGAAATAACTTCTCTTTAGGTAAAAAGAAACCTATTGAAGATAAAGGTAAATTAAGAGACAATTCCCTACTCCTTAAAAAACCAAAATGGTTCTCTAATTGTAGGAAATTTAACACATTAATTAACAGTATGGATTTCTTTTACAGAATAGGAAAAACAAGAATAATAAAAGAGAGCTGATACAATACTAATAGCAATGGTGTAAGGTTCCACTCCATTTATCTTGGACGTGGAGACAGAAAGGGTCACAGATACTCAGCACATAGATGCGTACTGTGTAGATTCTTTGAAGGGAAGTGCGGCTACGCATCTAGCTCTTATAAAAGAGAAATAGAAGGCCAGACGCAGTGGTTTACACCTGTAATCCCAGCACTTTGGGAGGCCGAAGCAGGCAGATCACTTAAGGTCAGGAGTTTGAGACTAGACTGGCCAACATGGTGAAACCCCATCTCTACTAAAAATACAAAAAATTAGCCAGGCGTGGTGGTGGGTGCCTGTAATCCCAGCTACTTGGGAGGCTGAGGCAGGAGAATCCCTTGAACCCACCCAGGAGACGGAGGTTGCAGTGAGCTGAGATTGAGCTCCACCCTGGGCGACAAGAGTAAAACTCTGTCTCGAAAAACAAAAAACAAAAACAAAAAGGTAATAGAGTCCTTGTTAGTAGAGGAATAAGTATATACTTGGCTCTATCCAGCTGAGTACTCTGTGACATGCTTGTCATAAATTGCTGACCCTTGATATAAAACATTAAAACCAATGGATGAAAACTAACAAAGAAGTGCTATACAATCCTCTACAATTTTAGCACTACTAAAAACAACACTTTTTAAAATATATCAAGTTTTGCAGGGCACGGTGGCTCAGGCCTATAATCCCAGCACTTTGGGAGGTTGAGGTGGGTGGATCACAAGGTCAGGAGCTCCAGACCAGCCTGGCCAACATGGTGAAACCCCGTCTCTACTAAAAATACAAAAATTAGCTGGGTGTGGTGGCGCGTGCCTGTAATCCCAGCTACTCAGGAGGCTGAGGCAGGAGAACTGCTTGAACCAGGAGCTGGGAGGCGGAGGCTGCGGTGAGCCAAGGTCGCACCATTGCACTCCAGCCTGGGCAACAAGAGTGAAACTCTGTCTGAAAAAAAAAAAAAAAAGATGCTATATGCAAGTTTTTCATATATGTTTTCCATGTTGTAGTATCTATATTTGAGTACCAAAGTACTTACTCTTACAGAGTAAGATGCATATTTTGATTAAAATTAACTTCCAAAATTACTCTAATTACAGCAGTGAAGTAACTTCCAATTAGTGAAGCGTTTCCATGCTTAGGTTTCCTGTGGGAGAAAATTACCTGTTCAATGCAGACTAAGAAAATAAAAAGCATTGAGTCTGTGACTTGCTGCCTTCCTCCTTCTACATCACACACACTCCCTTTCCTCTTTTCTGGAGGAAATAATAAACATAATGAAAGCAAGAGGGCAAATTCTGAAGTCCTTTGAGAAGATAAAATATCTTACAAGTCAAAGGTTAACTTGACACATCATACATCATATACCATGTGATAGCCCTGTGATTTACAAGGCAGCATTAGGGCATGTCTCTAGGATGCCAGCTCCACTAGCATTAGGGTGTGTCTCTAGGAAGCTAGTTCCATTTGCCCTGTTTTATTCAAAGAAGTATCCCTAGGAACTAGGGCACAAAGTTGGTGCTCAATAAGTATTTGCTGAATGTCCAAAAAATATGGTGTATTACATATACTTATTAGGACAAAAATTATCACATAAAATGAGAAACACTTATGTGCAGAAAAACTTCACTACAATAGGAAACTCCAGCTGTATTACTGTTATTCATATTACTGCTGCTCCCTGCTACTCTCAAATTCCTAAAGGACTCTAGGTTAAGAAACAAAGTGTTGGCTGGGCGCAGTGGCTCATGCCTGTAATCCCAGCACTTTGGGAGGCTGAAGCAGGTGGATCACCTGAGGTCAGGAGTTTGAGACCAGCCTGGCCAACATGGCAAAGCCCTGTCTCTACCAAAAATACAAAATTTGTTGGGTGTGGTGGCACATGCCTGTAATCCCAGCTACTCAGGAGGCTGAGGCAGGAGAATCACTTGAACCCAGGAGGCAGAGGTTGCAATGAGCTAACATCACACCATTGCACTCCAGCCCGGTACACAAGTCGAAACTCCGAGAAAGAAAAAAGAAAGGAAAGAGAGAGAGAGAGAGAGAGAGAGAGAGAGAAAGAGAGAAAGAGAAAGAAAGAGAGAGAGAGAGAGAGAAAGAGAGAAAGAGAGAAAGGGAGAAAGAAAGAGAAGAAAGAAAGAAAGAAAGAAAGAAAGAAAGAAAGAAAGAAAGAAAGAAAGAAAGAAAGAAAGAAAGAAAGAAAGAAAGATAATAACATGGCTTAAGCCTATCTACCCAAAAACCCTGGCGCCAGGTGCTTAGTGGCATGCTGCCAGCCAGCTACTCCCAGGGCTGGGCAGAGAATCTGCCAGGCAGGAGGCAGGGCTGAAGCCAGTTCCCAACACATGCACCATTTGTGCTCCGGCAGTTTTACTGTTGACTCCCAGGAGAAGGAGGAGAGGAGAGAGGAAGGGGAAAGGGAAAGGGGGAGGGAGAGAAGAGAAGGAAGGGGAGAGAGAAGAGGGAAGGAAGGGAGCAAGGAAGAGGAAGGGAGAGAGAGAAGAAGAGGAGAAGCAAGAGAGGAAGGGGGAAGGGAAGGGAGGGAAGGAAGGAGGGAGAAGGGAAGGAAGGGAAGGGAAGGGGGAAGGGAGGGAAGGGAAGGGAAGGGGGAGGGAGAGGGAGGGAGGAAGAGGAAGAAGAAAGAAAGAAAGAAAGAAAGAAAGAAAGAAAGAAAGAAAGAAAGGAAGGAAGGAAGGAAGGAAGGAAGGAAGGAAGGAGAAAGGAAGGAAGGAAGGAAGGAAGGAAGGAAGGAGGGAGGGAGGGAGGGAGGAAGGGAGACAAGGTGTCCCTTTTTGCTGGCTGAATTCATAAAAACCTCAATAGCAGACCTGTGGGGCTCTGAATGGAGTGAGACCCCTCTTCCATCACCTCCTAGTTTTAATTAGGGTAACGTCAGGGCCCTTATGCTAAAATGAATTCATGGATCTTTGGAAGAGACACAGAAAACAGAAGGATTTTGGTAAATTCTATTTGCTGTATTAGACCATGAAGCCACCCAATCAAACAACATTTGGATGTACCAGGATGGAGCCTAAACCTCCCGACTTCATTAAAGCTCTGAAACTTAGGAGACTGACACCACCTTAGTGTAGCCTGTCCAATAGAAATATAACCCAAACCAAAAATGCAAGCCACATACTAACTTTAAGTTGTCTCATTAAAAAAGTAAAAAGAAACATACGAAATTAATTTTAATAACACATTTAAGCCAATATATCTATAAACTTGTTTTAACATGTGATAGATATAAAATATTAATGATTTGTTTTTACTAAGTCTTTGAAATCTGGTATATATTTTACACTTATAGTCTACTCAATTCAGACTAGCCATATTTGAAGTAATCAGTAGCCACATGTGGCCAGTGGCTATTGTACTGGACATGAAGTTCTAGAGTAATTTTTTCCTCATATATCTAGGTTTATATGAAGCCTTCTGGCCATTCATTTGTCTGCAGATGGGCAAATGTACAAAGAAGGCTAATGATGTTTCCACAAGACTCTATGGTACAGGGTAATTAACTCCACATTAAAACACAGTGCCCAGAGGCAAGAATGCTAGTCTGATTTTTTCAAGTAGATTTCAGAAATCATTGTCAATTAAAGACAGCAGTGGCTGTGTCGTTTGCTTTACACAATGTCTAGCCTGGTCATTTGGTTTTCTTGGGGGGTGTTTGTTTGAGACAGGGTCTGGCTCTGTCACCCAGGCTGAAGTGCGGTGGCACAATCTCAGCTCACTGCAACCTCTGCCTCACATAGGGCTGTCAGGGCTATGAAGAGGAGAAAGGACAGGTAACCCAGAATTGAGGGTCCGAGAAGGGCTCTCAGAAGTGGTAACTTCTAAACTAAGACTTCAGGTTGAACAGAGGGAGTCCATGCGGGACAGTGTGCGTAGGAGTGCAGGGTGTACAGGTGGGCGAGGGTGCGTAGTACTTGCTGATGAGAAAGGATTAGAGGGAGGCAAGGCTGGGAAAGGAAAAGCAGTTGCAATGTGTCTGCAGTTCAGGTGAGACATACAGAGGCCTCCACTAGGAGGGCAGCTGCGATGAGGTTGACAGAAGTGAAGTGCAAGTGCAGAGAGATACTTAATTCAGGAGGTACAAGCAGGAAAAAGAGCAACACTCAGGGAGGAGAAGTTACAGGTCAGTGCAACTGAGTAGGCAGTGTTTACCAGACAAGGGATAGGGTAGGAGCAGTAGTTTCAGGATAGGAACGCATAGGAGATTGCAAATTTTGTTTTAGATAATGTGTGTTTGAGGTGTTGCTTGGGCACTGAAGTGGAGATATCCAGTGATCAGTTGCTTCTATTTCAGGTCATAAGCTTAAAGAAAAAGATCCAGGCTGGGCACTGTGGCTCATGCCTGTAATCCCAGCACTTTGGGAGGCTGAGGTAGGCAGATCATGAGGTCAAGAGATCGGGACCATCCTGACCAACAAAAATTTTCCAGGCGTGGTGGCGCACACCTGTAATCCCAGCTACTCAGGAGGCTGAGGCAGAAGAATCAATTGAACCCAGGAGGCAGAGGGTGCAGTGAGCCGAGATCACGCCACTGCAATCCAGTCTGGTAACAGAGCGAGACTCTGTCTCGAAAAAAAAAAAGAAGAAAGGAAAAAAAAAAGATCCGTTCTCAGACTTTTGTGTGGG